AAAAAAACACCGCAGATAAGGTGCTTGAGAAATTAATGGTAGAATACTGGACAAATATTTTACTTGCAATCTATTTTTGAAGAAATTCAATTGTTTCATTTTGTAACTCCTGCGAGACACTACATCATATTATGAGCAGCCAGAGCCATCGCAAAATGTCCGGTACCCGCTTACCAAATAAACCGCGATCGGATGCAGTAGAATTAACAGGTCAGTTAATAACAAGTTGTATATGCCAATATAAGAACTTCGGCTTTCTCTTGATTGTAGAATTGTTTTCGGCTCAAATGGCACAATTGTGTCTTAATGAAGATTACTCGGACGTAACTTTCATAGTCGAAAATCAGCGTTTGCCAGCCCACAGAGTTATGTTGGCGGCACGCAGTGAATATTTTCGAGCCTTACTTTATGGCGGACTCTCGGAGTCAACACAGAAAGATATACATCTTAAAGTGCCCGTAGAAGCTTTTAAAGCGCTGCTAAGATATATATACTCGGGCCATTTGTTCCTTTCACAAATGGATGAAGACAACATTTTAGATACCTTAGGCTTAGCAAATCAGTACGGTTTGACAGAGCTAGAACTGGCCATCTCCGACTACTTAGTACAGTATTTAGCATTAAATAATGCTTGCGCCATACTAGACGCAGCCCGTTTATATAACCTCGAAAAGTTAACCAAAGTATGTCTAACATTTATGGATCGTAATGCTGCTGATATTTTACAACATGAAACATTTAAGAATTTGTCAAAGGTAAGTCGTATCTGCCATCGAAGGTAGAATATACATTTTATTATCATCACTTACGTCTACTGATTGAGGAAAATTTTTTTGCACCGATGCTGTGTCGTTTCCGATATATTCCTTTAACGTCGAAACATGCTGATTTCTTATTCGGTCTCCTAGGCGGCTAAAGTTTATATCAAAGTGTTCGGATTTAGAATATCTGATCTATAAAGTGATCTCTACGTCCGATTTTACTATTCTCATAGTGTATTCGAAACAATATAATAGACGCAATGAGTTCCCTTCTTTTCCTTTCCTACTTTTTTCTTAACCAAAAGTCGTTTCAACTTGGTCAACTGAAGGGTCAGTAATTAACACTCAAAAAAAGAAAAAAAATATTCCCCTCATTGAAGTATCGAGAACTCGTCCCAAGTCGGGTTATCCTTCTCGTTTTGCCTTTTCGTTTTTACCATATAGAAATAGGCTTTATACAGCTTGACGTGCCATTTAAAGCTAATTTTGGTCAAAAAGTTAGGAGGCTAAAATTTGGCACAAATATGTATTCTTATCCTTCAGTTTACAATTCAGTTTCTGTTTTCGAATACACAATACTCTGAGAAACTGCTGCGGATATAGATTTATAAAGTTGCACCAACTTTTACTATGACAATTCAAGACTTATTTTAAAAATAAAATATGTGGATGCTAGAGCTTGAAAGGTTTAGAAGATATGAAATAGTAAAGCGTGAAGATAGATGCAACTCTTTTTGTTTTTCCTTCGACTTGTTAAATCGCATTACTATATTTGGTTTCAGGAATCACTTGAAGAAATTTTGCGGCGCGACTCTTTTTTCGCTCCGGAAGTGCAGATTTTCCTAGCTGTCTGGGAATGGGGCAAACATAACCGAAATGTAGACATTCAGGTAAGTCGACGTAATTCGTGCAACGGCTAATTTCTTAAAACCGCTCTGTATAATTGTATAGTCGGTAGTCTCGTATGTACGTTTGCCGCTTATGAATCTTGATCATTTATTGCAAGTCGTCCGACCTTCGGGCATTCTCGATCCCAATAAATTACTAGATGCTATTGAAGAACAGAGCACTTCAAAATATTTAAAATATCGTGCTGCCTTATGGCCTAAGGAAAATGTCGCCACCGCAAAATTCGCTTCACGTACTATACATGGTGAATGTCCTTCACAACTTTTAAACGGCGATATTACTTCGTATGATATGGAAAAAGGCTACACCCGCCATTGCATGTCAGATGCTAATGATAGCGGCATTGTGGTGGAGTTGGGCACAATATGTTTGATAAATCACATTAAAATTTTGCTCTGGGATCGTGATAACCGCGCGTATTCCTATTTTATCGAGGTGTCAGCCAATCAAGTTCAATGGGATCGTATTATCGACTATTCTCAATATCATTGCCGTTCGTGGCAATTCTTATATTTTCAAGCCAGACCAGTTCGCTACATCAAGTTAGTAGGCACGCATAATACGGTTAATAAAGTAGGTAGTGGTTTGGAAAACGAATAAGAAATATTTGAAACGTGTGATTTGTTCAGGTGTTCCATGTTGTATCGTTGGAAGCCATGCATATTATGAACATACCTCGTGTAGTTGAAGGTATTGTAGCGCCTACGAGTAACGTAGCCACGATAGAAATGGGCGCAGTCGTTGTAGACGGTGTTAGTCGTACCCGTAACGCTTTGTTGAACGGTAACTATGTTGATTACGATTGGGATTCCGGCTACACTTGTCATCAATTAGGTAGTGGAGAGATTTTGGTGCGCTTAGGTAAAAAGAATATTTTGTCTTTTTTGCGGCAGAGCTAATAAATACAACACATTTTTGTGTACCTTTTTAGCACAACCTTATTATGTAGGGTCGATGAGATTATTGCTCTGGGATTGTGATGATCGCACATACAGCTTCTACATAGAAACTTCTACAAATCAAAAAGATTGGACTATGGTTATAGATAAACGCGACGAACAGGCAAGATCTTGGCAAAATTTCACTTTCACCGCCAGGCCAGTTGTCTTCATAAGAATTGTGGGAACGCGAAATACAGCGAATGAGGTGAATTAAATAGCTTTAGACATATATATTTGACAATATTTGACAATTTAATTGCTCTTTGCTTAACAGATCTTTCACTGTGTTCATTTGGAATGTCCGTCGGAGGATCCGAATTCCTTGTTAATAGAAAATGAAAAACGACTCGCTGAAGATAAAGAACAACTCAAACCAAACGAGGCCGACGGAGTTTAATTTTTTCCTATGTTCTTCCCAAAGTTTATTAATAGTTTGTCTACCCTGATAAGAATTTTGAGCAAAATTGTTTGCTAAATCCCGATGGTCCTCCATAAAGGCTAACATAATTTGCAGTTGCTCGTGAGAAACGGCCCTAAGGTACAACATTAACATTGAAATTTTATTAAATGAAAATATGATAAGAATATACTTACATAGTTTGTCTTTTAATAAATAAATTTTATATGTTTTGACGATTTCTAAATTAAATTAAAATAACAAAATTTTTGGCATTGTTTGCTTAAACTGATAATCGTCTAACGATATCGCTTTGTCGATAGTTTTACTTTCGCGTCATGACTCTCGTTTTGACGATTGCTATTTTTTCATTCATATAGACATATAACAACAGCCAATCACCTTCGCAACGATGGCAATATGAGTATCGTTTCATTAACAACAACAAAATTAAAGAGTTTTTAAAATGTTTATTTTCTATGCTCTAATTTACTTAAATTTGAAAGGGGAAAGTTAAGTAGTGGTGTATTTGATTGTAATGTGAACCACTACGTAGCTAGTAGGCAGGATGCATCGCAACATCGTTTTGAGCCATTTGACGAACCAGGAGAAGGCCGCTGTTCAACGATTTTCTTTTGAGAAAATCCTTCCGAATGGTATACGTACTGTGCTTAGGGAAGAATGGCGTGAGTGTGTCTTCGAACGGTATGCGTCAGATATTTGGGGAAGCAAAATCGCGCCTTCGATAGACAAGGGCTCTGACCAATCTGACTACTTTCCCTAATCTTTCAGACACAGTTTACGGAGAAAGAAACAGGAATAAAATCATCAAAACCAAATCAACAAGGGGACGTAATACTCGAACGTGCAGAGGAAGTTGAGGATGTTTTGATCTGTGAAGGCAGCTCGATACTGGGAACATACCCGCTGAGGGTAAAGACGTTTTCTTCAGCTCTCAGTCCGAGTCACTTGAGGGAGTACGGACCGAAGGAGGCTGTTCAACTTTTTGGGGAAATCTTCGTAGGAATTTCGGAACGATTAGGGGAAGAGAGCAAGAAAGGCCAAGCCAGGAGAAAGAGAGAGAGTGGAGCCGCGCGCCATCTTCTATGATTAAAGGTGGCATGAGCTTTGACGTGGCTTGTAATAACGACTTTGCACAACACTTCGGCCTCTAGCCCCTGTAATCCGTCAAAACGCCTAGAGGCTAGAACTATAAGGACCCGAGTGCTACTATGAGCAGCACCGCTGCCAAGCCACCCAGCAATGCGCTGTCTTATAAAAAAATGGGAGAGTTCACAAGGCTAGAAATTATCCTAATCGACTAGCCGAAGACGTCATGGACTGAACTGAGGGCGATAAAAAGTACACTCCTGGATAGAATCTATAGGCAACATAAGCCAAAATCTCAATTTGCTAGTTTCACCTTCCGCCGTGATTGCCACGTACGTACTTGTAAGTGGAAAAAGGCGGCGGAGTATCTGAAGACGACGGTACCAACGTGAAAAGGCGCCGCTATTAAAGTCGTGCCTGATGAAAAGTAACCTCGACCTCATGTAGTCGTGGATGTTATGGAGGGCCAACACAAGGGCTTAAACGTTGAATATTGGAAGGTACTCTAGAAGAATGTTAAAAGGAACACAACGGTTCTAACTCTGGCAGTAGACGAATCTTCGGCAGTAGTGCCGAAGAAGAACGGAATTTTTGTCAGCTATGGTTTCGATTCAATCTCAATGAGGCCTAGCGCCAAAACCGCGGGGTCACGCAAAAACAGGCCGCGATCAATGGCGGAGAGGGCCTGTCGGGCTCTGTCCGAGTAATGGTAAGTGTCTTGTCAACGAAAGGAGTCTTAGGGGAGCACAAGGGTGAAAAAACGTCTGGTGGTGCAACTCCACCAAAGCCTCCGATTGGCAACCTGACAGGCTGTAGGCCCTCAGTGAACGGGTCGAATCCTCAAGAAACCACTGGGCTCTTTATGGCCTTGAAAAATCAGGGACTACGAACGGCTAACTGACTGTCGAGCAAGCTGCACTCCGCAGTAACCAGAGGCGCACGAAGCTTAAGAAATGTGTCTAAAGTTACATTTGAGTTCCCTAAGCAGAGAAAATGAGCACATCAGGTGCATTCAAATGAATCTCCACCATGCTGAATCCACCGTCAAGAGTTTCGTTTTCTACTCTCTGGAAACATCGCCATCCGCATATCCTCAAAGGTGTGGAGTCCATTGAACTTGAAGCGCAGACGCACCGTTCAATATTAAAGGAGACTTACCAAAAAGTCTACGGCGGACGTGCCTTGATGGAATTGAAAGCTTCAAAATCCCAAATCCGAGGCTAGGAAATTATTCAACTAGGCTAAACAATCCGGTGAGTAGCTTAAGTACAAGCAAGTCCTTACCACATATAAACCGAGCTGAGGCGATTGAAACAGCGTACCTAGAGACAGCGTTGTGAAAACATAAATAGTTTTCCAGAAGCAGCTTCAAATAGCTCTAGCTAAAGACCACGGTAATTGAGTGTGGATTCTAAAAAAACCAAGCGGAGATTACACCGAGAGGAAATTGGTAGCTTCCTGATGGAGACCCACTTTCCTAGATGCCTGCGGGATGCAAACTAGGAGACCACGCCTGCCGAGTTCTAGAGAATATAGTCTTGCTATCATAATCTGGGCGGAGCGGGGGCAACTTTCGGACGATACAAATTGCTGGGATAAGGTCGTCTCGACTCCAATAGGACGCAGACAGTCTCGTCCCACAACTTGCTAGACTTTACGAGTCTAGCCTTCTAACGGGTTATGTATTATGGGATTGGAAAAGGGCCAGAGTGGTCTTTATTCCGAAAGCAGGTAGCAAAAATTAGCGCCTGCCGAAATCGCATGGGCCTCATATTCTTTACTCAAAACTGAGTAGACAATTTTCGATAACTTCAAGCCTCTACACAAGTACCAGTTTCCAGTTCAAAGCAGCAAACCTACCATGACGACAATTCATGAGCTGACCATTATCATCGAGGGGGCGATAAAAGCCAAGCAAGTTCTCGTTGCCTTTATCGATATACAGAGGGCCTTTAATGCTACGTGCTACGCGGCTATTGAAACAGCTTTGAAATATAAAAATATTCCAAGCATGATTAGCAACTGGATAATAAATATGCTGAATTCCAGGTAGATTATTTCAGAGCTAGCAGGGGCGTCTAGAACTATTCGGGCCAATAGAGGGTCCCCTAGGGAGTCGCGCTCCCTTCTCTTATTTGGACCGTAGTCATAGATATTCTGCTAGTGAAACTAATGAAACAATTTCGTGGTGGGCTGGCGTGAACAAACACTTATTGGACGTATGCAAAAAGACCTAAGCATAACCCTTAAATGGTTAACATTGGACAATGTCTACTGGATGTTGTCCTTAACTATTCAAATCAGGTGAAATATCTGGGTGCCTATTTTGATAAAGGTTTAACTTGGAATTCTGATTTAAAATCCGAGACAGGCAACCTTTGTAATCTGTGGAGGGAACAAGGGAAGGGTACACCGACGTTTCAAAGTTGCATAGTGGCAAAATTTGCTTTGGGGTTTGTGGCCCGAGCTTTCAGACGACCGTTCTAATGGAGTACGTTTTCTCCACATTCCACGCAAAAGTCTATGCAATAGTCGTATGTACCTCTGAACGCTTAAGAAGATAGTGCAGGAGAGAATTAATTTGCATTTACTACGACAGTCAAGCCGCCTTAAAGTCCCTAAATAGGCGAATTATAACATCTTCGCTTGTGTTGAAGTGCTTTCAAACACTAAATGAGCTATGCAGGAACAATGAGCTGCACCCAATTTGGGTGTCTAGCGATTCAGGTGTTGGGGGCAACGAAAGGGCTGATTTCCTAGCTAACAGGGGAGGCCGAGGGATCATAATAGATCCTGGATCTTTCTTTGGCGTACCAAGAAGCCATATTAATAGGCTGGTATCGCAATGCGCACAAGAAAAATCGAATTACCATTGGAAAAAATACAGCAGAAAAAAAGATTCCTAAAATCTTCCGGTATGACATATAAACTAGTTTAACTAAGAAGAAGCGACTTACGTTTGGTTACAGGCATTTACACAGATCATGATTTCCTCAGGTATCACCTGAAAAACATAGGTATGTCCGATATCGATTCATGTAGATTCTGTCAAGGGACGAGTGAGATGTCCCGTCATTTTCTCTGCGAATATGAGGCTATCTACAGAATCAGATACCATGTATTTGGCGCACAATCCATAACATCAGACACGAGATGAAGCTCCGAACCAAAGAATGTATCGGGATTGATAAGAATCCTAGCACTACAGGGCTAAGGAAACGGACAAGTACAATAGATCTTCTACGCCGCGGTGCGAATTGCTCATGCAATTAATAATAATAATCGATGTTCATGACTTGCCACTACCTTCTTTTACTTACTTATTTGGTCGCGAATTGAAAAGCAGACATGTTCTGCCTAAATAAAAAATGAGAATTCCTACATAGGAAATAAGATTTTTAATGCATCAACTACATTCATTGTTCAATATTCCCACCGCAATATTCTTGCAAAGCACTTTTTTTGTTGTTCCAACAAATAGTAATTTCTTTACTTCTTTGACATTATAACAACTAATCTTTGCATATACTAACACACCGCCACACAATGCATATAGTTTTGGAATAGATGTTTTATTATTGTAATTGCGTTCATTGCAATTTTGTATGATGTTATCAACCATTCTCTTATTCCGTCAAATAAAACAAAAAGAAAACAATGTTGGAATGCATCTTGTGTAATGCTCGCGGATTTATTAACATTACTCGATTGTTTATTAATTATATTTTACTTGCCTTTCACTCGCTTTTAAACTTTTTAACTTTAGCAGGAAACATCACAATATCTAGAATTTTGTTAATTTGAATGAAGTTTACCGTTACATGTTTGCCAAAAGACGTGAGCTGCTGAAAATTGCAAAATCTGATAGTTACTGTTTATCAAATGTTGGGGCAATACTCGTTTTAAATATTCACCATCTCCCAGCCAAGTAAATTTACTTTGAGGAGGAAAAATTCAGTTCCATTTCGGTTATAAAATTTGAAAACATTAATGGCTGCATGCTATGATAAGCACACACCTTAATTGTTTCCTATTTTAGTATCCCTTATAGTGGGTATATTAGATTTGTCAAATTTTTGCAACGGATGAGACCATGCGTTTCCATTAAGCTCACCCTTCTTAATCAGCCATATCCATCTTTTCAACTCATAGAAATTGCAATTACGACCTGAAGCCTTTGTCTAGGGGAAGAAATTGCTTAAGCTTGAATGTCAGGGAAATTGGCTCATAGTCTCCCAATAATTACCAAAATTTTTCTTTAATAAAACTCGCGGGTCAAATTTAAAACTTGTACACAGTGAAATCGGTAAATTTTTGTTTATTGAAATTTGTAAACGTCTTACATACTAAGGTAGTTTGATTGTATTACTTTACAAAAACTTACGCATAAATAATTAGGGTTACATTTATTTAAGAGGCGCTTAATTTACCTGCAAGTTCTCAGGTGCTGGAAGTACTCCAGTTGTAAAAAGAAACAGCATTTTAGAGTGGAGAGACGTTGTCTTCTGATTCGGTGTCTGCTTGCTGTTGTGCTCGTAAGTATCAGCTTGAGATTGGAAACTAGGTGCAAGCGATTGCTCAATCTCAAGCGTAACAAGCATCAAAATTATATTGCGCTGTGACGGGATGTCTTGTACGAGTCACCGTCATCTTTAAATATATTGAAAAAAAATTCAAATTCGATATTCTATAATAAGAGGGTGGAGCGGTTAACTATTTCCCCTTTTATAGAAAACACATGAAAATTTTTATTTTACAATTTCCATGTAATATGTAACAATTTTGCGCCTGATGTAAAATGTAGTTAATAAACATTTATGTGCACCATCTAAACATCCAACAAAAAAGGAAAAGAAAAAAGTAACCTACAAATAAGCTAACGGACAAGATATGAACATTGACGTAAAAGTCGGTACAAAAATCGTTTCGCTGGACCAACAGAAACACTTACAAATAACAAAATATTTTACAACTTCAAGGCATACGTTTAAAGGGGTGTATATCACTTTTTGCAAATATAACTTTTTACATTTTTGCATTCGGTTTTCAGTTTATACGCGTTAGCGTTTAGAAGCGTAAGTATTGCAGACAGTTTTCTGCCATTACATGAAAGCTAGTGCAATACATTTAAAGTGTTTCACTTCCTCAGGAAAGTAATATTGTGTTTATTGTATATATAAGGACTGTCGTTTGCCTTGCGCTTCCAGTTTGGCAAGCTGCAAAAGTGACAATAAATGTGTATCCATTATCTATTATTGCCAATGGTTAACTTATACATATTTTTTTAGCAATGGCTTTACTACTCACGTAGAGAAAGTATACAGATTTAATCAACGTGTATGTGTCGTTTTGAGCTGTTGGCAGAACCAACACTATGTACGTTATTGTACGTGCTTTCAAAGTCTTAAAACCAAGTCAGAGGGTACGTACCGAGAGAAGACACTTTTGTAGTTGCTGTGCTTCGTCTCATTTCTATGGTTTATTTTTATTTGATACGATGCACTTATAGTTTAAAGATTGCAATTTATTTTGGTTAATTGGAGACGCCGTTAAATGTCACGGCCGTTTTTGCAAGGCAGAAATACACTAGATCTCTAAAAATTTTTGATAGTTCTTTTGATCGATGCATAATAAGATGCTAGCTTTCCATTCTTCCACTACTTAATGGTCGTTAACACTCCAAGCAGACCAAGCAGGGATATTCATCTTGTTGTTATGAAGCAAGTGCGTATTGCATTGTACTGAAAAGCAAAAACCATGTTTATAAGACTAGTTGAAGCAAGATCTTAAAGTAAATGTAAGTTCAAAATTCTTTTTGAAAGTAAAACAAAAATCCGAGACAACTTACAAAATGAAACTGTTCCCACTTGTACAAACAACCTCATGGTAAATAATATAAAGTATTACTTGGAAAATTCATGAAATATATATATATATATATATGGGAAGACAATTTCCGATTGCTAACATAGCTCTTCCTTTAGCTACCTTAGCTTATTATGGTGGCTAAAGTTTACTTGTAAAATTTGCTTTGCAATTATGTAATGCTGTCGCACATGGCACAGTTTATTTACTTCCGTAATAGGAATGCGTAGCAAATTTTTCAAATAATTTTCTCTTTTGTTCAGAAAGGGAATAACGTTGTATTCGTTTAGTGAGAATTTTGATTATTTAGATGCTCGTACAAGTAAGTATTTTCTGATCATGGGCATTATAATGAAACGACGGGAACATTTAATTTTTGAGAAGATTTTGCGAACATGTCAGTAAATCTTGTTTCGATATCTGCTATACATTTTTAATATCTTGGAACTTCCTTCGTCTTATAGAGGAATCGTGCCACCTTATAAAGTTATTTCATGAAATGAATTAAGTATATATATATGAGGCGTGTTTCATTATCAGATCGAATATGAATCTTGCATTTATCATAGGTATGGGAGCAGCAATGCAGACATTTGGATATTGCAAACGAAATCATTAACCTAGTGAGTTACTCTCAATCGGTGGTAGCGGCATAAAAAGCAGAATTTTCAACATTCTAATAGTCCTTAATATGGGTTTAATCACCGGAAGGAAATATGACAATTGGAAAGCATAAGAAAATACCCTTTTTCTCCGATACATTTAGAATTTAAGTAAAGCGAAAGTAAGCATAACCTGTAATGAAAACAAATGTACTGACACCTTCATGCTTATAGTATGAGAAGCTTTCGTCACACCGGAAATTACAATTGAGTTCATTTTTGAAATAAGTCCTTTGTACAGAAAGTCATTGGTCATCGGTGGTGTTGGTTTTAAAAATGTTCTCTTTCAAATTCTATAGCATTGCTGTTAAAGAAATATATTGATGTATGTATATATAGTTATTATTTTGAAAATTGCTTACGCGATTAATAATAAATACAAATGATACAATTGATCGAATAACATCTCGGAACGCGTGAATACATCAACGATTTATCTCTATTATGTTTTCCTGTTTTCCCCCTTCTTAGGCAAAAAGCATGTATTCAAAGTATTTCTTGTCATTTGGTACAGGGTATAGTGCATTTGTACGTTTATATATAACACTCAGAGGAACTTAAGACAGAGCCATCTTTTATCATTGTACCGATCCATTTATATCGGGAATGATTTAAGCCTGCCTGTGCGTCCGTTTACCAGATGTCTGCCCAAGCGTTTGTGCATTCTACTGTTCTTAGGTATCCATATTTTACATTATGTCGTCATTTTATAATATATCGTCACTACTTCTTAATTTAAAACAAAACAAGATGTTGCAAAAAAAGTCGAATGAAGATTGAAAGTGACGCCTTAAAAGGAAGATTGTAATTTTTGATTTGATGATATCAGGGCACGTTTAAATATAAATTGTTAAAGTCGTTTGCTTACATGCGCTGACTTATAATTAGCCGCTACATTCTTACTGTAGGTGCTTGACATCCTAAGCACGAAAGAGAGTTACTGAGAACGAATGAATATGTTTTCTACTTGTTTGAAAATCTATTTTAATATAAATATGTTTAGATTGCGAAGTCTTTGAAGAGAGAGCGACGCAATATTTTTTATAATTTATTCGCTTCAAAAGATAAGATATTCGTTTAGCTAATTTGTAGATACCATATATAGAGAAAATGTACATAAATAAATCGAATATTAAACGACGACGCTTTAGTCAGCGGAGAATAATTCAAATGGAACGTTGGTTGAATAAGGTTGCCGTTGTAACGGGTGCAAGTTCGGGTATTGGAGCCGCTACAGCAAAAGACTTGGTTCATGCTGGTCTAAATGTGGTTGGCTTGGCTAGACGTGTAGACCGTGTAGAGGAGTTAAAACAACAGTTGCCGGCAGATAAGCGTCAATATCTAACAGCTATAAAATGTGATGTCGCCGATGTGGAATCAGTTAATGAAGCTTTCAAGCAAATTGTTACAAAGTTTGGTGGAATTGATGTGTTAGTTAATAATGCTGGTCGTATCGTAGGGGGTCAGTTATGTACTATGGATGTTGCAGAAGTGCAACGCACTTTGCAAACCAATGTTATGGGTGTTATACATTGTACTCAACATGCTTTCAAATCGATGAAAGAACGTAATATGAATGGTCACATTTTCATTATAAACAGTATTGCTGGTCATAATGTAGTAAGCGGTATTTATGGTGAAATCCCTATGACCAATGTATATTCACCTAGCAAATATGCCCTCACAGCCATTACGGAAATTTATAGAAGAGAATTTCTCGGCTTGGAAACGAAAATCAAAATAACTGTAAGTGTTTATTTCTATTGCAATAGCCATCAGCCTTATGAGCTTAAAT